TCTCCTTGCCAAGCTCTGCATTGCCCTGGGCACCAGGTCCTGCTCAGCCAGGTCCCCAGCCTGGGCTGTTGCATGGGGTTATCCAGTCCCAGATGCAAGATTTGGCATTTGCCTGTGGAAAAGGAGGGGGTTACACTGAGGCTTGGACAGAAATCATGTCTAAGTAGTGAAAAAATGGATGGATGCTTTGAAAGGAGCGGAGGGTGGGAAGGCATATGATCCAGACTGTCCTTGTTCCAATATTCTTCCCAAGGCATCTCCTTACGTCTGCTGTTGGAGAGGGACTCATGGGCTGGATAGAATTTTTATTTCAAAGAGAAGACTATGGCAGAGGTCTACAAAAACCATAACTGGCCTGGAGAGCTTGAATGGGGGTGATCATTCATTCTCCTTCCTAATGCAAGGATTAGCCAGTGCTTAATGAGCTCAGCAGATGGCAGGTTCAAAAGGAGTGAAGGGAGATAGTTCTCTACCTGAAAAGCGATTAAATTGTGGAACTCATTGCCTCAGGGTGGCAGAGTGGGAACAACATAAATAGGTTAGAAGTGCCTGTCGGGAGGTTATTAAATACTAAAAGAGCGCTTCTGGCTTAGCAAGTTGCTGAACCTTTGATTGCTGGGACAAAGAAGGATATCACAACAGGTTTGATGGTCTGTCTCTGTAAGAATCCACCACTGGTCTCTGCTCGAGATAGATCTGCTGGGCTAGATCAGCTTCCAGCCTGACACGGTGCGGCTGTCTCAGTATTACGTTGTCATCAGGAGATGGTACAGACGGCAGGACCCGAGGGGAGATGAAGAACACGGTGGGTTTGCTGAGCTGTCCGTGCCGATCTCCAGCCCTCATCTCTGTCAGCCAAACCCATCCACAAAGTGCTGATTTCAGAGAGCGGGGAGGTTTCGTGCTTTTTTGGGGAGAGACACGGGCTTTTACTGCCTTGGGCTTTTCGTTACATCTCTAGCTGATCTCGCCCGGCTTTGCTCAACGTCCTTATCAAAAACTTCTAAACCCCAGCTGGGGCAGCCGTAGGGGTTTGTCAAAACTGTCTTTTCTCCCCAGGTCGCTTCTGCCTGTGTTTCTGTATGTATTTCCCCTGCACACAGAGTGGAATAAAAAGCTGACTTGAGACCTGCTCGTTTTATGCCTCCATTACTTCAATTTTCTCTGCCTGAGGCTCCTCATTCTTTTCCACTGTGTTGCTGCTAGCCTGCTGGGACTCTCTCATTGCCCACGAAAGTTTCTCTCATCCTCCTAAATTGATACTTTTCTCCATGAGCTCAGATTTTTCCCTAAACACAGATTCTTACAGAGCGAATTTCTCTTAAATCTCACATAGTTTGGTTAGGCACACATGTGCACACTAAAATCCATTTCAAAATGGCTCAGATTTATTTTAAGCCTTTTTTTTTTTTTTTTGCAGATTCCAAATGCTTTGATTCCTGTCTGATTTTAAAAAAAACAAAAACCACGGGGTATTTTCAGCATGATTTAGCAGCTCATCTATAAGGATCTTGACTGGCTTAACTAAATGGTTGGTGCTTACTCATGTGTGGAAAAGGCCTTGGTGTCTTTGGATGCACATTATTTTATTTAATCTAAACACAATTTAATCTTGGAGAGTTAAAACGCAAGAGTTTAAACTGATGTTTCACAGCTTGAGAAAATAGCTACTGGAAAAATCGTGGAAGATATCTCCTTATTTTTTGAGCAAAATGTTTTGTTTCAGTGAAGTTGTCATGTTTAAATATTTTTGGTTGCAAACTTGTGGAATTGTACCTGGGAACAAAGCTTTTCTTTTAAATATAAGGAAAAAAAAAAAAAAAGTTGATCAGATAAGCCTTGAGTGAAACAAAACATTCAATTCCAAGTCAGAGAAAACATTGATCTTTAAGACAAATTAACCATCTTACTTGATTCCTTGCTTAGAAGAAATTTGAGGTTTGGATTATCCAGAATCGTATTCTTTCCCCTACTCTTTTTATTCTGGAAGAACCATCAAACCAGAAAAATCCAGTATTGATACCACTCCATTTAAAAGGCTCAAACGCTGTTTCATAGCTCTTCTGCAGAACACTTTTAAACAGTGCTAGAAATACCATCAGAGTAGGAATGTTAAGTGGAATTAAACAAGATTATGACTTTTGAAGACCGTTTAAGAACCCCTAATACAGAAAATAAGTAAAACCATGCCACTCTGACCTTAGGCATATAAATATACTGCAGCAGAACAAACCAGACTCTTTTGTATTATGCTGAATATGAAACGGACTGTCTTGGGGCTTTGACATCCTGACGAGAGAGTCTGAATTAGCAGCTGGTTAGTTTTAATCCCGGCAGCTCTGTCAAAAGGGCACCGTTAGCTCCATGGCAGGGGAGGAGCCGGGGCAGCCTAGGAAGGAAATTGGACCCTGCAGGAAATTCGTGTCCCCGTGGCAAGCCAGGGCCGGCAACCAGCTGCTGCTAAAATGTTGTGACAGAGGAGATGATAGCCTGAAGTGTTTTCTGGGAGGAAAGGGGTTGTTTTTGTTAAGTAGGTCCTGAGATAGGCAGTCAGATCGTGCCCTAGGGATGTGGTGCTTGGGGACTTATTGTGTGGGCTTGGAAGCAGAAGCATCATGAGAAGTTGCAACCAAGGTGGGGAAGGGTGATGAGTAGCAAGTACGCCAAGGTACATACACCATCAAGGGAAAGTAGAGAGGTTGTGGCAAGGTTTAGCAGCAGTTCGTGTAGCAGCAGTGTGAAAGCAAGAGAATGAAGGTATGCCCGTACCTTCTCCTGCCTCGTTGTGTTGGTGGGGTCTCTGGTTTGCAGGATGCAAGATCACAGGGCATCCCAGGGACACCACTCAAGTTTCCCTGGGCGATAGCACCTGTCTTTGGCAGAATGGTAGAGGACAGGTACTGCTGGCATGCATTCTAGACAGTTCAGGAAGGTTGGATTTTTGTGTTGGTCCTGGACAGGTATAGCATCTTTTGAGCAGTAGAGGCTAGGGACTGAACGTGGCTGCAAGGTCAGGCTGCAAGGCATGCAGTGCTCTGCCTTCAGCAGACGGTCTAGTCCAGGCAGCCTTGTACAAACCCAACGCCAACACACAACCGTAGGCGACAAACCGTGGGAGAGAGAGAGAGAGAGAAAGCTGTTAACCATCTGAGCAGAATCACTCACTGCTCTTCAAAGAACTCCTGCGAGGGATAGCAGGCAAAGCAGAGCTCCAGCTAAACCTTTAGGATCCCTCCTGACTAGGTCCTCCTTCAAATACCTTTGCTGTCTGATCTTTAAGCATTTCCCACTGGAGACCCATTTAACAGCTACAACAACCTCCCCTGCTCCTGTGTGCAATTCTGGCTCCAGCTGTGAGGACACGAGCTTGGAGAACACCTGGACACATTGCTGTTCCTATGTCCAACCTCTCAGTTCCTTGGTACATTCCCAGTGGGCTTAAGCCAGTTTCCCTGCTGTGAATCACTCGTCTAAACTGGAGACTTTGTTGGGCATCGCTAGCAAAAGCAAGTGTGAAAAGACACAGGATAGAAATGTCTATTAAAAAGAGAAGTGAGAGCACAAAAGATTTCACAGGAGAAATGTTGATTACTAAGCCAAACCATGCCAGCAGTGAGCCAAGACATCCAACAGCCAACTTAGCTATGCGTGGAGGCATCACACTGCATGACATTGCAAGAGATGGGGCTACCATTACTGGTACACTCTTACTTGATAAAGAAAATCTGTAGTGGAGGGAGGGCTAGAAACCTCTTTTCCTGAGCCTCTGCACAGTCTGGCTTTGACCAGTAAACCACGGTGCTGGCTTTGACAAGAAAACCCAGGTGGGAGACGTTCAAACAACTGACCCCATGGAGCACACATCATCTACAAACGGGCAAGGGTTTGTGGGGCTGCAAAGCAAGGTTAACGCAACAAGGTTAGTCAGGAGCAGAGAGGACTGCAGGAAGACAAGTCCCACCACCACATAAAAGTAAAAAGACACTTTGAAATCAAAGTGAACAAGGAGTCTACACCAAAAGAAGGAAAACAGACTTTTTTTTTTTTTCTTAAAAAAAGAGGATACATCATTTAGTGTATTTTTTCAAGCTTGCTTGACATCATACTGAAGCACTCTAAAGCTGTCAGAGAAATGATAGACTTTTTTTCTGTTGTCAACCAAAGCGTGCTTTTATGGAGTCAATTAACCACAAAGTAGGAACACACATCACTTGTCTGAGAATGAATTATAGTACAACCCAATAAACATAACTGTCTTTGCTCTCTGGACATTTCCCTGATGAGGAGGCCATTGGACTTTCCTATCCAACCATAAAGGAAACTTCATGTTCATTTGTGTTTCGTTCTGCAAGCGTGACTCTTTCAAGTGCTACAGTGTGAGGGGAAACGGGGTCATTGATATTACTGCTCTGTCGTGCAAACCTGAACATGAGCTTGGGGTGTAAAATGCAATTACATCGGTGGAAAGAGTTCGGATAAGCTGGGATGGTATGAGTGCTTGGATCTGCAACGGAGCCTATAGTTGCTGTCATATTCGATAGAGAAGTGTAGCCAACATCATCTTTACATAGTATATTGCGTGCCCTCCACAGACTTTAGAGCCCTTTTTGAAGGTGGAGAGCCACAATCTTATCAAGTTTTTAGTTTTTTTGTTTGGTCGGGAGGGTTTCTTTTCCTTTCTTTCTTTTTTTAACAAATGAGGAAACTGAGGCACAGAAAGGTGGTGTGACTTGCCCACAGTCGGTGGTAGACCTTGAACCCCCCTGGTCTTGCTCACAGCTTTTTAGCTCCCACCTGGGACATGGTGAGAAGGAAGAGCTGCCCACTTGTTCCCGAGGTGGGGAGAACCGCAGCTCCTCCCGGGGCGAGGGGAAGGGGTGTCACTCTCAGTGGTGATGTCTGGCAGGGGGGAACAACAGCACGCATGGTTTTCTGCCAGCCCTGAGAGGCAAGAGAAGCAAGGAACCTGAAATGGGGAGGCAGGAGTTCGTTGGTCAGGCACTGGGCGAGAGGACGCGGCTCTACAGGATGCATTCGTGCCTCTCTGTGGCTTTCAGGGCCTCGTGCATGCTGGCGGCGGAGAGCCTCCTGTTGATGTTCCTGTACCTGCACCTCAGGAGGTTCCAGAAAGTAGTCCTCAAGTCTCGGTTAAAGAAAGCATATATCAAGGGGTTGATGAGGGAGTTGGTGTATCCCAGCCAGAGCAGAGTCCTCTCCAGCCGCAGGGGCATGCAGCTGCAGCGGATGCCGCAGATGAAAGGACGAGCCGTTGACATCAGGAAGAATGGAAGCCAGCAAAACGTGAATGCCCCCACAATAATACCGAGGGTCCTGGCTGCTTTCTGTTCCCGTTTGAAGATGGAAATATTCTTTCGGTCTTGCCGGAGCAGTTTGGAGAGTGTGGCACATTCCTCCACCGCTTTGGTACGCTTGGAGCTGTGGTGGCTCCGGCTGGAGGCCTCCAGGCAGTAGACACCCTCCTCTTCGTAGTGCTTGGGGAAGTTCATGAAGCGGTGCTTCTCGGCGCTCACCTTGGCGGCTTTGTAGATCTGGCTGTACATGACGAGCATGACTGCCATGGGGATGTAGAAGGCAACCCCTGTGGAGTAGACTGTGTACCCAAAGTCCTGGCTGATGAGACAGACTCTTTCCACGGTGACATTCTTGGCCCAACCAAAAAGAGGAGGAAGAGTGATGGAGGCAGATAGGAGCCAAACGATGAAGACCATCTTGGCCATCAGCTTCCCGTTTTGTCTCACGGGGTATGTCAGCGGCCGAGTGATCCCCAGATACCTGGAAAAAAGAAGAGTTGCAAAGGGTTAGGAGGGTTGCAAGGTGTGAGTGCTGTTGAGTGGTCTTTTTTCCTAACCAGCTGTTAATGCTCCATCACAGGAGAATTTTGGCCCGGGGGCGGGCAAGAAATGAATTCACCAAATGAAAATGTTCCCAGGGACGTGCAGCTACAGTATCTGCTGTGAAACACATTTCACACCCCTTCTGCTTTCTTGCCTAAACCCTCTAGTTTCGACTATTCCCCACCGCTTTCTTGCAACCACCCTATGCATGATGCGAGATGTCGTGTAACTGCTGAGTGCGGTCCGAGCTCCATGTGGTTTCCTGGGGAATAAAAATGCTTTAAAAAGCTTAGTTTTCCACCAGAACTAGTATGTACAGAGAACATGTAACAACTTCCAGCCATGGGATGTAACTCACTTCAGACTGACACTCTCCCTGGGAAACACCCAGAAATGGGATGGGTGATCCACAGAGTAATACTTTCACCAAGATACGTCAGGGCTGACCCCAAATCATAGAATAATAGAATGGTTTGGGTTGGAAGGGACCTTAAAGCTCACCTTGTTCCAACCTCCCTGCCCTGGGCAGGGACACCTCCCACCAGACCAGGTTGCTCACAGCCCCATCCAACCTGGCCTTCAACACTCCCAGGGATGGGGCAGCCACAGCTTCTCTGGGCAACCTCTGCCACTGCCTCACCACCCTCACCGGGAAGAATTTCTTCCTGATATCTCATCTAAATCTTCCCTCTTGCAGTTTAAAGCCATTGCCCCTTGTCCTATCACTCCATGACCTTGTAAAAAGTCCCTCCCCAGCTTTCTTGTAGGCCTCTTTAGGTACTGGAAGGCTGCTCTGAGGTCTCCCTGGAGCCTTCTCTTCTCCAGGCTGAACAACCCCAACTCTCAGCCTGTCCTCATGGCAGAGGTGCTCCAGCCCTCTGACGAAATGAGCAGACTCGTACCAGTGTTTAAGGGGAAGTGGGAAGGACAATACCCTTCTCTTATCTGTCCAGGCAACTTGAGAACTCGGGGAAGAAATACAACCTGCCACTGAGATGCCCCTGAGGTGGTGGGTGAGCAAGGAGCAATCTTGCCTTTGGGAAGAGTTAAGGATGTGTCTGAATGGGCACAGAAAGCAAAGTTATTGATCGGGTGTGATGGACTGCAGTGCCAGACTGACAGCTGTTGACTGACACCTTCTTTCAGCCGATGGACTGCGTATTCACATCTTGCAGCGCTGGCACCCATGGGAGACACCGCTGTCAGCAGCACACCCCATCACTGCACTTTCCATTCAACCTGCAATATTAGGACAAAACTACAGGTTCCCATGACTTCTACTGGAGATGACATCTGGAAACCAAGACAGGAGCGAGACAAAGAGCTGGAGCAGCCTGCTCCCTTGCACAGCCCATCATAGCTCCTGAAGTGATGGTGTCCAGCCCTCGCTCAAGAGTTGGAGGGAGCTCCAAGTAGGAGATCCCAAAAGCATGTGGTGACCCACAGATCCACAAATCCTGATGCCTGGAGTTAGGAGTTACCTTGTTAGCTTGACTGAACGGAGCTGGAGACTGCATCAACCATCAGCTCCTGGTTAGACCACCCGGTGTAATTTTGAACTGTCCCCAGCCTTGATTGAGAGGGTTGGTGTGACTAAGACATGGTGTCAACTGTTGGTAAAGTACAACTGTAAACTAATAAATCAAGAGGGGGTTGGCCACCGTCAGCCAATGTTCCTACTGGAAAACATCTGCCTGCTATTCAGTCTAAATCAAAACCCGCTAGCTAGTCATACGGATTTCTTTTATGTTACAGCCTTTTTGATTCAAACCTGCCTGCTGTCAGGAATTTGCAGGCAATTTGAGGCAGGATCGCATCACCTCTGAATTGTTCTTGGATTAACTGTGTCCGTCCAGAGGGGCAGTGAGAACAGCAGCGGTATGGATACTTTTTGCTGAAAGCTGTTCAAGGGAAGAAGGGTCTTTTCTGCCAAAAAGGAAAATTTCTGCAGAGAATTTTAGCTCTGTTGTATCACTGTTTTTTTCCTTCAGTCAGTCTCATTGTAAATGTTAGGAGATTTTTTCTTCCCAGATTATTTCCCTTTTCCAGGTCCTCCCACAAGATTGGAAGAAGATGGAAATAAAAACAAAAAAATCCAGTTCCTCCTCCCCTCCTGACTTCAAAGCCCAAATTTCTCTCCCCTCACACTCCCCTCCCAATAAAATGAATTTGCATTCATTCACTGAGTTATTCTTTTCCTCTT